GATCGATCTGTTCCTCGTCACAACTTTTTCCCGACTCTCTACTCACTTTTTTATTCTTATGTATTCCCTATGTTTGCATGGCATCGCATGGTATGACCGGCATGACAAGCGAGCGAATTCGGCGCTTATATCCTTTTGTTTTTTGCGTCAACCCACGGAGTTTGGAGTCTTTTTTTTGATTCTTCGTTTTATTTTAGTTTTTCGCATGTCGAGAGCGAGGTCGTTGAGAGTTCCAATATCCATTTCCCCAACAAAGGATTCATCGGTATTTGAGGGTTTCCGGCTTTTTCGCGTCATTGTCATTGCATGGAGTTTTTGGGAGGCATCGGCTTTCTGTTTCCTTCATCAAAAGAAGGGTTATCCAAGATTTTGCTTTGCATCAATGGACATCAATTTACCAAAAGCAGGAGTTTCCAAGGATAAGGAATTGACTCTTTGGTCATGAAAAGATGAACAGGAGGCGAGAGACAGACAGATTTTGTGATGACTGCCTTTCGAAGTTGCATGTATGTGTGTATGGATAGCTTCTGGCGGGGGAACCCAGGGGATTCGAGGGGAGGGAGAAGATTTGTGCTACATTTATACACATATCTACTCGGCTACCTTAACTAAGCAAAGTCTATACATATAACAACCTGACAGCATCATCATCATTCAGCATGTGCCAAATGATATCCGAGAAGCAGATAAGATATCGGACTTGTTTTCAAACCGCTCTGAATAAGTGAGTGAGTAATTGATATGTGTGATGGATGGTGGTCACTGGGTGTCACCCACTCCCTTTTGGCCCGACCCCGCGTGGGGGTGTTGGTAATCAGGGTCCCTCTTCTCGTTGGGCTGAGTTGTTGAAGCAGACAGACATATTTGTTGAACAAAAGCATCAAATTAGAGATTCTCTCCAATGGTCCCTTGATGCATTGTACATATGCAAAGGCTGGAACATGGTTACTGCAAGTTATGTCACTGAAACTGTTGATGTAAGATAGGCATTATAGATGCAAAGGACGGTCGGTACCTGCGTGCTTGCCTCTGTATTGGTAGGTGATGGGGTCGATTCGTGTTTAGGTGTTGGGGCTGCTGGCTGACATTCCACTTGCGCTGTGATGAGGGGGTTGGTTCAGTTGTATTGGGGAAGTGAAAGTGAACTGAAGAGAGTTGCCCTGAGGAGTGATCGAGTTGCCTCCGTTGTCCCATAGTAGTGTAGTTCAGGTGAATCACGTGCCTGATTATGATGACATCTAGAGAGAGCAGATAGTATAAATCTTGACTATATCTACACCTCAGGAATCATTATGGCATTTGTTAAAACAAAGCTTTCGTACACCGAAAGAATGAGACTTTAGACAAAGCATTGTGTTCGGACGTCACTGCGATGAGAGGAAGTGAGCAAGAGTTGCGTATCCAGGGTTAGGGTATAGTCAGCGTATTAAGAGGTCGCCAGCTGACATTCTCCCCTCTTGATGGTACCAGCTGCTGGCAATATGCGTCAGCAAAGTGCGACCGGCTGGCGGCGGCAGGGAAGAGGCGACATGAGTGGCCACTGCCTCTGGCGGGCGCGGCGACGCATGGTCCACCTCTGACCTTACCTTGGCGAACCACAGCAGCAACGCCTTGGAGACTCCGACGTCGTAGCAATCGAACCTGGAACGGAATCCAAACCACCACCAAAACCCACGACAACGACCCGGAGTTGCATACAGCATTCCGCTTCAATCGGGTCATCCACGATGGCGCCGAAACAGGACACGCCGTTCCGCTCGGCGGACATGAGCATGGTCCAGCTCTACATCTCCAACGAAATCGGCCGCGAAGTCTGCAATGCCCTGGGCGAGCTGGGCCTTGTCCACTTCAGAGACGTAATGCCACCCGAGTCCCTTCCCTGCCTGTACAGCATCACGAGAACCCACCACCACCACCATCAACGTCAACAAACAATAACATCAACATCAGTCAGTCACTAACAATATGTGCCACTACAGCTCAACTCGGAACTCAGTGCTTTCCAAAGAGCATTTACCCAAGACATTCGACGCCTCGACAATGTCGAACGCCAACTGCGTATGTCCCCTCCTCTCGAAGCCACCACTTGGCATCATGGCTAACTTGCGTGCCAAGGCTACTTCCACTCCCAGATGGAAAAGGCTGGGATTCCTCTCCGCAAATTCGACCCCGACGTAGACACCCTCACCCCGCCCACCACCTCCGAGATCGACGAACTCGCCGAACGTGCCCAGACCCTGGAGCAGCGCGTCTCTTCTCTTAACGAGAGCTACGAAACATTGAAGAAGCGCGAGGTCGAGCTGACGGAATGGAGATGGGTCCTGCGCGAGGCTGGCGGCTTCTTTGACCGCGCCCACGGCAATGTCGAGGAGATTAGGGCGTCCACCGACAACGATGACGCCCCTCTGCTGCAGGATGTCGAGCAGCACAACACCGCCGCCGATGTCGAGCGTTCCTTCTCTGGCATGAACATTGGTTTCGTCGCCGGTGTCATCGGTAGAGACCGCGTCGATGCCTTTGAGCGCATCCTCTGGCGTACCCTCCGCGGTAACCTTTACATGAACCAGGCCGAGATTCCCGAGCCTTTGATCGACCCCACCATCAACGAGCCTGTTCTCAAGAACGTCTTTGTCATTTTTGCCCACGGCAAGGAAATTCTCGCCAAAATCCGCCGCATTTCTGAATCCATGGGCGCCGAGGTGTACAGTGTCGATGAGCACAGCGATCTGCGCCGCGATCAGGTCCACGAGGTCAACGCTAGACTTGAAGATGTCCAGAACGTCCTCCGCAACACCCAGCAGACGCTCGAGGCTGAGCTTGCACAGATCTCCCAGTCACTTTCGGCTTGGATGATTACCATCAGCAAGGAGAAGGCTGTGTACAACACTCTTAACCTCTTCTCGTACGACCGGGCTCGTCGGACTTTGATTGCCGAGGGTTGGTGTCCTACCAACGACCTGCCGCTCATCAGGTCGACTCTGCAAGATGTCAACAACAGGGCTGGTCTTTCGGTCCCGTCCATTATCAACGAGATCCGGACCAACAAGACCCCTCCTACATATCTCAAGACCAACAAGTTTACCGAGGCTTTCCAGACCATCGTCAACGCCTACGGTACTGCTACCTACCAGGAAGTCAACCCTGCCATCCCGGTCATTGTCACTTTCCCCTTCCTCTTCGCTGTCATGTTTGGTGACTTTGGTCACGCCCTCATCATGCTCTGCGCCGCCCTTGCCATGATCTACTGGGAGAAGCCGTTGAAGAAGGTCACGTTTGAGCTCTTCGCCATGGTTTTCTACGGTCGTTACATCGTTTTGGTCATGGCTGTCTTCTCTGTCTACACCGGTCTCATCTACAATGATGTATTCTCCAAGTCCATGACCCTTTTTGACAGTCAGTGGAAGTGGGTTGTGCCGGAAAACTTTAAGGAAGGGATGGCCGTTAAGGCCGTGCTCCGCGAACCCAACGGGTACCGCTATCCCTTTGGTCTCGATTGGCGTTGGCACGGGACCGAGAACGAGTTACTCTTCATCAACAGTTACAAGATGAAGATGGCTATCATTCTGGGTTGGGCGCACATGACGTACTCGCTGTGCTTCTCATACATTAACGCCCGCCACTTCAAGAGGCCGATCGATATCTGGGGTAACTTTGTCCCGGGTATGATCTTCTTCCAGTCTATCTTTGGTTATCTCGTCCTCTGCATTATCTACAAGTGGTCCGTCGACTGGTTCGGCACCGGTAGGCAGCCGCCTGGACTCTTGAACATGTTGATCTACATGTTCTTGCAGCCTGGTACCCTTGACGGTGGGGTCGAACTCTACCCTGGCCAGGCTACAGTTCAGGTTATTCTCCTGTTGCTGGCTGTCATCCAGGTTCCTATCCTACTCTTCCTCAAGCCGTTCTATCTTCGCTGGGAGAACAACCGGGCGCGCGCCAAGGGCTATCGCGGTATTGGCGAGCGGTCTCGTGTTAGTGCTCTGGACGAAGATGATGAGGAGGACCCTAGCAACGGTGACGACTATGAGGGTGCGGCCATGCTTACGCACGATGACCATGGTGATGGTGAACATGAGGAGTTTGAGTTTGGCGAAGTGATGATTCACCAGGTTATTCATACTATTGGTAAGTTTTTCCCGTTTGTCCGGGATCTGTCAAAGATGACGTGCTAACAACAGGACAGAGTTCTGCCTCAACTCGGTCTCGCACACGGCTTCCTACCTCCGTCTTTGGGCTCTTTCGCTGGCGCATCAGCAGCTTTCGGCTGTGCTCTGGTCCATGACCATGGCGAAGGCGCTGGAATCCAAGGGTCTTGGCGGTGCCATCTTCCTTGTGGTTGCGTTTGCCATGTTCTTTGTCCTCAGTGTTATCATTTTGATTATCATGGAGGGTGTCTCTGCTATGGTATGTTTGCTTGTTGCTATCCTGGATGTATGGGAAGTCATTTGCTAACTAAGGTCAAAACAATAGCTTCACTCGTTGCGTCTCGCGTGGGTCGAGTCCTTCTCCAAGTTTGCCGAGTTTGGCGGATGGCCGTTTACGCCGTTCTCGTTCAAGCAACAGCTTGAAGAGTCGGAGGAGCTTAAGGAGTACATAGGTTGATGATTGTTTTGCTTGGTCTTTTTGGTTGTTGGTCCGCTCCTTTTTTTTTTTGGTCATAGTTTCATTAGAGTGGTGAGTAGAGAGAGGATTGGGTGTGTGGTGTCGGTAGCTGTAGATGCATAGAGCAATGATATGGCATTCGTATTCCTATTCTGCGACCGTTGAAGCACTTCCAGAGCTCTCGTAGTCATTCTTAAAGTGCTGTATCTTATCAGTCTGGTATCTCGAGGTCCAGAGCCGTAGAGTAATGGTCTTAAAAGGCTAGTCTCCCAGAGTTACATAGGGTCGGATGACACACCCGCCAAAAGAGGGGGAGCCGTCTTGGCACCTGCATCGCTCTTACCCCCTTCAGGTTACACCAATCAGCTTTACCGTTTATCCGGCCGACATGCTTCAACCACTTCCCTTCCCTTTAGCTGTCTCTTCAATTGTGAACACATCGTGTTCAATTCACATCGTGTTCAAGTTCATACTCACTTACTTACTCACCCGCGTCACTCTTTTTCCCTCTGCCTTCGTTTTTCAGCTTCCCTTCACCCAGGCCTAAGGCGGGGATAACTACCTAGCTACCCATCTTATCCCCCTCCTGTCCTCTATCTTCCCCGCTTTCCTTTCCTTCTTTCCATTCTTCCTTCCTTCTTTCCAAACACCCATCCATTTTTCCCGTCCTGTCGTCTATCTTCCCCGCCTTCTCTCCCGTCCTTCCTGTCTCCTTGAGATACCCGACCCATAACATACCTCTGCTTCAACAATCGACAGCAGCAGAAAGCAAAAACAATGAAACCAACAACCCACCTCCGGGTGTTTAACCCCCCACTCAATCTCATCCTTCGTCATGGGTCATCTGCCTCGAAACAGCCGCTGGGAAGGGTCCTTCCTTTGGATGTGCAGTTGCTGCGGCAGCGGCAGGGACAGCGGCAGGGACAGCCACAACCAGAGGGACAGAGACAGTTACAGCGAAAGGTGGTGGAGGGCTGGGTGCGGGTGCGGGGAGTGGATGTGTTAGAGAAGAAGGAACTTGGACAGGGGCAGGGGCAGGAGAAGGAAATGGAGATGGAAAAGGGACGGGAGAAGGGGCAGAGGTTGGAGATGGAGATGCAGGTGGAAAAGGAAGATGGACAAGAGCACAGGTTAGGACAGGGGTTGCAGCAGCAGAGGTTGAAGAAGGGACAGGAGTTGGGGCAGAAGCTGGAACTGGGGCAGGAGATGGAGATGGAGATGGAGATAGAGATGGAGAAGAGGTTGGAGATGGCGAAGAGGTTAGAGATGGGACAGGAGATGGGGCAGAGGTTGGGGCAGGAGCAAAGGTTGGAACAGAAGCTGGAGCAAGTCAAAGTGAAAGTGGAAGTGGATATGAAAGTGAAAGAAGCAGGGCAGCGACAGCAACAGCAACAACAACAACTACAACAACAACAACAACAACAGCGACAGCGACAGCAACAACAACAGCAAATTACAAGGGATGATATTGTCGGGGTGCATAGTACCAAGCAAAAGGAACGCCAACAGCAAAGGGGGTACCGACAACAGCAGCAGCAGCGGGGGTATCATCAACTGGCGGTGGGGAGGGAGGAGCATCAGCATCAACAATACCAGCAGCAACAGCAACAGCAAGTAAAACAGATTCAGGGACAACAGAACCAACGTCGACAACGCCAGCAAGCGATATTAGCACGGACACATCCGCTACTAATGGATCAAGATCCCTCCGCAGTCTCGGAGATGTCAGCGGCACAGGAGGAAGTAAAGAACGGTGATAGTGGGTTGAATGGCCAGGGACAGGGACAGGAACAGGGACAGGGACAGGGACAGGGACAGATACAAAGACAAGAAGACGGGAAAACAGGACTGGATGAAACCAAGGTGATGGACTTTGGTCTCGAGGTCAGTAATAGTGGTGGTGTTGGTGGTAGTGTTAAAGGTGCTGAGGGTACCGGGGGTGTAAGAATTCGGAGGCTCGAGAGCCGCGGGGGAAGTAAGAACCGCGGGAGCATTCTTGCTCATGTTAGGCGTAATCGTGCTGCTGGTGCTGGTGGAAGTGGAACAGTGAAGAATCAGCAGAGTGGGCAGACTCAGCAAGGCCAGCAGGATCAGCAGGGTGAACAGTCTCAACAGGCTCAGCAGGTTCAGCAGGTTCAGCAGGTTCAGCAGGTTCAGCAGGTTCAGCAGGTTCAGCAGGTTCGGCAGACTCAGCAGGTTCGGCAGACTCAGCAGGCTCGACAGGCTCGACAGGCTCAACAGGGTCAACAGGTTCAACAGGCTTCGGAAAGAAAAGGGCTAGAAGGTGGTGATGGCAAAGTAAAGTCCCAGAAAGCTGAACCAATGGGAAAAGTCGAAAAGAAGGGTCCGTCGTATTTCACATTCAGTCTTAGAAGTGGTCGCAAGTTTGGTCCGGGTGCGTTGGAACACCAAGAGGATTTGGGTGGCTGGAAGGTGGGAAATGATATGATCATCAGTGGCGGAAGCGTGGTGTTGAGGTCTTTAGGGTTGTCGTCGCCGGGTGTAGCAGAGACGACAGCAGAGATCGGAACACGTGAGGCGCGAAAAGCAGAACCGAAGACGAAGACGACATCCGCATCATCACAAGCAAAAACATCAACATCAACCAAACAACCACCACAGCAACCACCACCCCCGCTCACCACCCACCGCCTCACCCTCATCCCCCACGCTAGCTCCGACATCTTCTCACCCACACCCCCTCCTGGCTCCCTCCTCATCCACGCCTGCAACGCCCAAGGCGACTGGGGCACCGGCATAGCCAGGATTTTCCGCACTCACTACCCCGGAGCCTACAAAGCCTACCAGGCGCACTGCTCTTCCATCCCTACCACCTCCACCTCCTCACAAACCAATCTTCTTCAAGACCAAGAAGAAGCCGAGTCCGTCGACCCCATCCAAGCCCGTAAAAACGCTTTGACCAAGCACCAGCGCAGCTTAGTCGGCACGGCCCTACTCATCCCGCCGCGTCCCTCCGTTCCGGGCGACAAGAAGCACTTTATCGGGTGTCTTTTTACCAGTCTCGGGTATGGCCCTTATAGAGATCCGGCGGTGGCGATGATGAAAGCGACGGGGAAGGCGATGGAAGATCTGATGAGGCAGGTTGCGGAGTGGAATGTGAATACTGCTACAGCGAAGAAGAAGAATATGAATATGGTAATAGGTCCGGAAATGAGGATGCCTAGAATTGATGCGGGCAAGTCTGCGGTGGAGTGGGAGATGACCAAGGAGGTTTTGGAGAAGGTGGAGGTTAGGGTGCCTGAGGGGATGTTGCCTGGGAAAGGGGAGATAAGAGTTTTTGATGGGGTTGGTGCCATTGAGGGGGAGAAAGGGAAGGGGAAGGGAAAGGGGAAGGGGAAGGGGAAAGGACAGAGAAATGGGAATGGAAAGTAACGGAAAAATAGGCCCTGGGCACTTTGTAAGAATCGACAAAAATGAGGTCAATGAAGGGCTGGTATAAGAGTAATGTTGATACCACCACTGTAAAAAGAAGCTATTGTGTCTAGAGTAATAGAACTCCCTAAGCTTATAGCCCGTTCAAGGCAATAATCCCCATGTTTGACCAACCTAACCATACCCATATCCCTTAACGCCTCGCTATGCCTATTATCAAAACGAAATAATGCCATGCTGTCGTTCCGTTCTCTTCCCAAATCACAGACCAACTTGGCCAAAACCCGGAACCGCCAAAACGAGATAATCTCAACGGCGTTTCCACCCAAGGAGATCCTACCTCCTCTTCGTCGCCGTGCCAATATCCGCCTCGGCCTCCAAACTATCATCCAACTCATCCAACTCTTCATCCTCCAACACACTCTGCTGTCTCTTCCTCTTTGTCCCGCCAGAACCCGAACCTGAACCTGATCCCGAGACAGTACTTCCCGGTCCCCTTTCTCCTCCTCCCCCTCCTCCCTTTTCTTTTTCTCCTTTTTCTCCTCCTCCTTTTTCTTTCTCCCCTTTTTCCTTCTCCTTGTCTTTGTCAGTACCCTTCTTCTCCTTCTCCTTCTCCTCCTTATCCGCATCCTTCATCAACTGATCCTCAATATTAAAGTTTTTACGCGCCGCCTCGATTTCCTTCTTCTTCTCAAACACCTCCTGGATCTTGCCCATGAACCGCGGGTTCCTCCGCATGGCAAACTCGAAATCTTCAAACTTGACTTTTTGTCGGCCGGCGTGGTGGGCGGCGCGCGTGGCTTCGAAGCCGACGCCTTGAATGAAATCGGTGATGAGCTCGTCGAGCACGCGCACGGTTTCCGGGAGGGGGTTTTTCAGGTCGCCGTGGCCGTAGAGGAGTTGGGCTACTGTTGTGGGGAAGGGGGTTAGTGTGGGGGATTAAAAGAGAGGGGGGGGAATGGGGAGAGGGAAAAAGAAGACGTACGTTCGTTGTGGTTAAAGTTCATTTTGCCGACATTCTTGCCGGCGCGGGCGCGGGGTTCCATGGTGGGCTGCGGGTGGGTGGGCTTGAGGCCCGGCTGTGAGGGTGGTGGTGGTGAGGTTGTGAGAGAAGGTGAGGTGGATGGAGGTGATGGAGGATTGGGGTCGCGGTTCGCGGTAGAGATGCGTTATGACGAGGAAGGTTTGGATGAAAAGCGAGTAAAAGGCTGAGTTGATCGGCGGGCTCAAAGGCTCAGTTGAGCAGACCTAGAAGCTCAACGTCGAAGGCTGGTGCGATTTAAAGCTTCGAGTTGCGCGGGGTCGAGAGCTTGATCAGCCTTGTCGCGTTAAGTGGTGGGGGAGCGAATGGGAGGATGCGACGCGCGGCGGTTAAGAGATAAGATATGGTACACGGGAAGAAGATTGTTTAGTTGGCTGAGAAGAGCATTCAGCCCGGTCGATACCTAGGTCCCGGATTTGGCGTCTTGTCGGAGGACAGAAAAACGATGACGATGGATCGATCAACAGGAATGAGGCTCCGAAATGCCAAACTAAGAAAGGCCCCCAAGGCCCCCCAACGGCGCCAGGAACCCCTGCCTTGTGTAACCGTGGCTCCACAGAACGGGTATGGGGTCCAATGACCAATCAGCTTCCAGTCACATCCATCCAAGACGGGAGCGAAGAGCTGAAGCTGTGCGCGCCCCGGGGCGTAAGACTGCTGAGCGGCACCCCTAACGACGCTGAAAGTTCAGTGTGGCATTTCGCAGCCTCGCGGGCCTCCACAAGCAGTCACCAACTGACTACACCTACGTAACCACCAACACGGCAAGTTCACGACACCTCCACCCGCGATATCCAAGGACGACGAGCGACGAGACCTTTGACGCATCGCTAAAGAACGAGAAGTTGCTGTTCCCCGACAACCTCACGATAGCCTGCCCCGTAATCCAAAGCGCCCACCATGGTATGTCACCCGCAACGTCATGGCGCATCACTTCCCATCGTATCCCATCCCATCATCGCTAACCATCTCTCTCGTCGTAGACCGCGCTCTTCAACTTTCAGTCCCTCCTTCTAGTCATTATCCTCCTCGTCTGTACCTCGACATACATACATCAGATGTTCCCCGCGATTCTCGACCGGAACAAGGATGGGTGAGTTGCCTTTCCCCTTTTTAGCGATGGACCCGGGTCCTCTGCCTCGACACAGCACGAGATTTGGGAAACAGGACGGGCCTCTAGGAGAGACAAACGATACAAAGGGACCGGTGAACGAAACGACATGCTGACTGACATGAATTGAACAGCTTGATGGGCATCTTCTGGAAATGCGCAAGGATAGGCGAGCGGCTGAGTCCGTATGTTAGCATATGTTGTATCTTCATGGCGGTATGTTTCCTCGTTTGTTCCACATAATCCCCTGTCTGTTCTGTTCCGCTTCGAGCAACATGCTGATAAGATGTGTTGATCAGTTCTCTATGCTTGTTGGCAACTAAATCATTTATTTCCGTTGTTACCTCGACACGAATACACGTTTTTATAATGCTTAGCGCTCGACAGCCACGTGGTACTGCGCCTTTTAATCATAAACTTGGAGTTGCAGGAGGGAATATTCAAACTGGGTTTCCACTGAAAGAAAAAGAGGGAGAGAAGGGTTTCGGGGAAAGCGACAGCCCCGACGACATGAGGATGGACATATTTCTGGACCGGGGACCACAAGGCCGACGGACCTAAAGGGGACACTCAAAAGTGAAACAGGCGGATGGCAATCAGGAGATGGAGGACAACAATGGAGATGACGATCTGGCGGGCTTGGGGACACCGACACTTTGCGACTATCGACGCCCAGAACTCAGCACACCTGGCCAATCCCTCTCGGTAAAGCGAGATCGACAGGGTCTTTGTGGGACTTGGAAGCAGTGGACGCCCTACCGACAATGCTGGACTCCATGATTTCACCGAAATGGGACCCGAGCGAGCTGAGCTGTGGATTGCCGGTTTACTACTGTTCTAGACGACTGGGCAAGGCTCGACAGTATGAGAAGGGATATGGGATTATCGTGGCTGAGATATCACTAGTGGATCACATGGTATCAAACTGGTTTCGCCTGGCCAACAATGCAGATGCTTCCACGCTCTTGTAGCGGTCACCGCTTGTGCGTCTGGCTTGCTGGGTTGAGCACGGTCACGAGGTAGTTAACACCTGGCCTTCGGTCAGTTCAAGAAGGTTCTATTATGGTTCTCAACAGGCTATGGCTAGACTATCAAGGTTGCGGATTCTTCATCAGACTTGGGTGGGATGTTCTGGACGATCACCGCGCCATATCCCTTTCTTTGAGAGACCAAAGAGCAGAGAGAATGATACATTCAAGACCCCCAATGTCCAAGGTTGTCAACTGAACAGGGTGTCCGCAAAAAATGGTGCTGTGGTCATAACTGCTGCAACTGTTTGCCCTAGATTTTCTTTCTTCTCCTCTATCTTTGACGACTTGTAGTCATGGCTGCTAATGTCACTTCACCCCGGTGAACAATGGTAGACCGCAATAAGGCTGTTCACATGTTCTCTTTGCTCGCGGATGTCCTTTCCTCCTTAGCTCTGTTCTATTGAAACTGCACGGTTGGTGATCCCAGAGTATGTTGTGCACTTCCTTGGTCACCAATGGAAGGAAGCAGCTGATAGCCGCCTTACTCGACTTTTATCACTTCGCACTCACACAAAGCAAGTCACCCGTCATGTCTCTTTCTCTCTATCCCTCTCTTTTTCTTTTGTCTCCTCACCGTTCGTGGTCTCTCACTCGCCAACTTTTTTTGTTAGTTGTGTGGAGGATGCTTGAGTCATTCCGGCATCTATGGCCGGAGGAGCTCTCTCATATAAGTTTAGGAACAGCCCGAAACAAGCACATACGACCATACCCACTGGAAAACTCGGGATCCCGTCCGCTCTCCCATAGATAAGCCAGTGAGGGCCAGACTAGTAGTTGGGTCGGTGACGACCAGCGAATCCCTGGTGTTGTATGTTCTTGGTTTTTTTTTCTCCTGTTCTTTTTGTTATAGTTGACGATCAAGAGCGTAATTTTCCACCTTGTCTATGTCCCTACCGAAGAAAGAAAGAGTCATCAGTCCGCTAGATTCCATTCAGTCCATATGTTGTCCCAGACACTCAATCGCAGGGATTGGTTGGATCTGGATACAACATCCTTGAAGCAAAGATAAGTATGCTCGCCAGTTGAACGTCGATGTACTCTCGTTGTTACACGAATGGCGAGTTCTTTTCATTCTTTGTCTACTACTACCATGTGTTGAGTGATCTTTCGTTCATTCTCATCTCCATCTTTCTCGATTCCATAGTGTAAATCACATCACACTAATCAACTTTGAATATACTTGAAGCAGCATTCACTCAGGTGTGATATCCACGACAGACAAAACCATGAACCCAATGGATATATCATCACCGTCGCTGAGGATACCTACCTTACCCGTCAGCTTTACACTGCGTGCTGGTGTGTTGACTCGTTGTTCATTCGCATCTCAAACTCTTGAGGACCGGATCCTAAGCAACACACCCTCTACGATTCTACGGCTCTATCAGATGGGAGCGAATATCCAATCGCCTCCTTCATGCAAATGGAAGGCGGATTTGATGGACATGCATAGGTAGATAAAGCTCCTAAGGATACAATAGGTGTTTGTACTTTTTCTGCCGGTCGCACTCACTCTTACTATGGATATGTGTAGACACTGAGATAATATAATAACTAATAATCATAACAGGGAAAGAAAAACCGAGTGTCCACAGATATCGTTATTGTTACACTTACCATCTTGAGATCTCTCTCTCTCTCTCTCTCTCGCTGTAATCCGACCAACACCGTGGAGACGATTGCTGGCTCAAACCCGTACACATAAACGTGATCATGGACGTCGTCGGTGACTACATACACCAGAGAACCGCGAAACCGCAGAAGCAAGTCACTTGGAACTACAGACATACAGCAGGTGGTGGTATAACCCACCGAACCGAACCGACTTTTGGTACACTTTTCTTCACAAGCCACACAAGGCGAGGAGGTATTTCTGAGGCGGCGGCGACGCCGGCTCTGCATCGCGGCATAGAAGTGGGTGAGTGGCGTAGTCCTCGGTCCTGCAACGACGCCGGACGGACTCCAAAAGGATGGAAGATGGGAGGGAATACTTATCTACCTACCTAGCTTCACATCATATAAAGGTACGATGGTAGCCAGATATCAGCTCAAACCGATGCTCTTTGAGAAAGCAACGAAAAACAACACAAGAAGAAGAAGAAGAAGAAGAAGACCTTTTGAACACCATACTTACCCTCCTTTATAAATTGCGTAGTGCTGACAACTCGGAAAAGTCACTTGTAGCTCACTTACTTACTTACTAACGTACTTACCTTACGTACTGGACCAGAGATTCCGTGGCAGTCTTAATTGGCCATTATGTCATACCCAACGAAGCTCATGAAGGAGTGCTAAGAGGTCTGTAGTCTCGGACTAGCCCCACCACCGCTACCAACTGTCACTGACAGTCTGACACAGTTGTTGACGATCACGTACACTACAAGGTAATTTTATGAAACATGCACCAATAGTGTATGCAGTATACTTGTAAAGCTTTTGAAAGAGCTTGTTACACAAGAAATTTTCGTTTGTAAAAAGAGATCCTCAGTATGGTAGTAGCTTGGTAGATGTAGCTAGCGTACGTAAGCGTGGGTGTACTGTACTGTACGTGGTTGATTCCATTTGCACTTGCTACTACTACTGACCTGACAAAGAGTGCATGGTTGTCTTCTAGAATAGAAGAGAGATGCCCTGAGGCTTTATATCGTTGATGGACACTAGACTAGAAGGTGAAAGGAGACTTTCGAGGCGCGATAGCTGATGATAATGTTGAGACGCAACTCGAGGATGTTGCATCTGAAGGGGGATTGTGCAGCAAGATTGATGAGTTGGTCCAACGTCCAATGTTTCAAGGTTCGACCTAGTGATCCTGCGGCGCGGCAGCGGCAAAGGGCGAAAAAAGACGGCAGCGAGCGGCGGCGGCGGCAGCAGCGGCGGGATCGGATTGAATCGGATCCGAGTCGGAGGGTTGTAAGAAGGGTTGGTTGTCGGCTGAGTGTTTGAATCCGAAGCCGCCCCCCTCCCTCTTCTTGAGGCACCCGCATCTTGCAAACGCCGCATCCAGGTGCAGCACGGCAACGTTTTGAGAGAGAGCACCGCACTGATACTGATTGATGGTGCGCGGCGGGCTATTCTGAAACTCTTTTTTCTCTCTTTTCATACGGAACATCATTCACTTTTCATTGAGATAGCCAATCCAGCCATCCGTGGCGATTTGATTGATTGCCTGTTTGTCGCCTGACTCGGCAACATGCCTCACACTTGTAAGAGACAGAGAAGCCAGAGCGAGGGAGGCCGGACCCGGACGGAACCAGCAAACTCGTTCAAAGCGGGGTTGGGAAAAGTATGAGCGTGTGGATGAAAATTGAGAAAAATGAAAAAAAGAGGGTGCGTACGCAAGAAGGCGTAACGGCTCCCAGCATGGCTTGTGTGATATCGTGATGCTGTTGTGTCTAATTTGCTTCCTTCCCAAAGCAGTGCCGGGCAGCAAATGTGTGTATGTCGTCACCCTTGCGGCGTCCGGTCATTCATTCATCTGGATGGACTGCGTGTTATTGCTTGACTGCTTTCCTACTCACTGCCACTTACTTGGCCGGTTCTGTTGTCCTGTTCCTCTTGTCATCATCATCTCTGCCACGGCACAACACAGAGCGAGAGGATCCACGTCCCTCCATTAGTATTGTCTCAGTGAGTGTGGTTTCGGCTTCCATCAAGATGAGCTGAATGGGTTTGTTGTTGTTTTTCTGTAACAAACTACATGACTCGCGGGTCGTGTAGCAGGATTTTTTGTGAAATTCGCTGCTGCGGGCGCTCAGGTGGCCGTGTTTAGGCTCGGCTGTGACAACTCACCTGGCAGTAGTATGTTTGACGAAACAAGCACCGTCCACCGAGCGGCGGCGGCAGCAGCGGCAAGCACTAGGGATGTAAGAGAAAAAGAGATAAGACCGAGTAGGTTTCATTGTGGATTGTTTATGCGTTTCGACGCGACGCTGCTTCCCTGTGGAAAGGCACATTAGAGAGAAGAAAAAAAAAAACAAAGAAAAAAAAAAAAACAAGGCTGGGTGTGTGGTGGCACCGATCACGGCGTCCAAACAGTCTGCTTGTTGTTGCGTAAACTTGCCAATGGAGATTTTCCTTGATGCGCTGATATGCATCTTTTAGTATAAGGCAAATCGATGCGAATGCGATGCCAACGGAGGGGGATGGGGGTCATCTCGAGATACCGGTCCTTCGATCGATGCACCTCCCATTGTCCATCACCAATCGTTGTTGTTGAGGGTTCTGGGTCCCGGTCACTTGGCGGCGCCATCATCATCGTGAATGTTATCGTCGAGGCACTACACGAGAGGCGTGTATCGCATTGCAGCAACCCGCGAATTGTAACCGAGGAGAGCGTGATCGGTGTTCAGCATGAGCTGGCCTTGGCGAGTGACGACCTTCCATGGCTTCAATGACAAGCAGTCCGTCACAAAGTCACATACAGAGGTGGTGAAATGGTCGCCGAAATGGAAATGCCAAAAAAAAAAAAAAGTAAAAAGTGGAGGTGCTTCGCTTCAGTGGTTAGGTTGCTGCTATAACCCGCGCTCGGTAATCGGCCACCAATATTCGACAGCGTTGTTGTACCCCCCCAGCTGACCCAACTTTTAAGAATGGTGGCCAGCGATCCCCATCTTAGGTATCTGTTATGCAACCAAGTCCCGTGACCGGAAAGGTCCTGTATCCGGATGTGCGGTGCTGCTCCAAAAATACGTACCGTTCCTGTTTCTTTCTTAGCGACAACAACAACAACTCATTTCAGCGTCCAGCCACTTGTGCATGTACAGAGTCTTGGCGTTAGAGTTGGTCAAAACGGGTTTCTTTCTCTCGCCGGCTCCTCATGGGGACTTCCCCTCCGTCGACCGCGCGAAAAACCTTCAAGAAGGCCCGAGTCGCTTGGCACATCGATTTGAAGATCGTGCGGACCAACCTTGGAAATCTCAACCCAACAAGACAACAAAAAAAGTTGAAAAAAGGTTCGGAAATTCTTTCACCCAAACGTTCAAGTGACCGGTTTGGGTTTAGTCGAGTATGTCGGCCACATGGACGTTGCTGGGATTAACGACCCGCTTGGATGGACAGCCCTGTCTTTTCTCTCATTTGGTACCGAATTGGATCCAGCGCCATCCACAGGGCCCAGCCAGGTACCCATCCAGGAACATCCATGTTTGGGCGTCGTGAATCCGAAATTGGCTTCCAGAACGGCATACGCAACTTTTTTCTTTCTCTCCAAAGTATCGAAACGCCGTGTTCGGATATTGGTATGGGATATTGAGTGGCAGTGTGGGAGCCGGAGTGGGTGACTAGGTACACTACACTACAGAAAGTGGGAAAGTGGTGGCATCATACTTTCTTTTCTTCTTCTCTTTGCACCCCATGGGCCCCATGGAATGAACGGATCGCCCCAGTGTCGCTTACGGTGCCGTTGATGATGGAGGTGAAGGTTCTCTTTGATGAGGACACGAGGTCAGTTACCATGATGGCTCACAGTCGTTTCCAATCTTTGGCCGGGACATTATAGGTGTACAGTAGATGCAACCCAAAGCATGTCGACGATCAAATAATAGGATGATGATCTCGCACCTGCAATTTGCCATTGTCCGGTTTGTTTGAGAGCTCTCCTCCCATATTGACAATGCAAAATGGGGAGTTCCTGATTTATCCATCACCCACATAAATCTTTTGGTCACGAGAAGCGAGCATTGCAACACCACACATCACGCATACGAAACCTGCCCAGCTGTAGCCCATGTCCGAACCGCCCACATCCCGAATGCCCTTGTCGAAAATCAAGAAAGAAAAAAAAAGGAACAATAGAATAATAACGGGTTGAGGGCCTCCTGGATACGGAACACGGGGCCGCCGCTCGCCGAGGCCCCGGTCTCTAACATGTCTAAAAAAACAAGATGCTGGAACATGGATGACAAGCGAACCAAATCTGCACCATCAATTCTTTACTGTGTGGCCCCTGGGGAATGATGATGAATGAAGCCGCCCGGGCCGGGGACCTCAACGAGAGAGGATTACCGGTGGTCCGGTGGTGGTGTGGTGCCCGGGACGGGCGGCGGATCCTCCGTCAAGCCCCTTCCAAGACCACCAGTCCCTGTTCCTGGCACATCTGTTGGTTCACGATGCCTGACGAGACCAATGGATGTCACAAATAGTGGCGTGCGAGGCGTGCGAGTTTCGATGTTCGGGCTTCATCAAAAAAATTTGTGATGCTGCATGCTGATTAATTTCATCTTGCATGTGTTCTACACTACATATCCCTCAGCTATGGAGAAAGTGTAGTGTATGCGGAAACACTAGTGAGTGTTAGTCGGGTACGTACCCTATCTGTAATCCGCAAAATACGAACACACACACCTCTTTGCTGGGGTCACTGCTCGGAACTGAAGCAATGTGACGGGAACCGGTTATGTGATCTGATAAAGTGCTTTCGAGAGTGTGATCGGGTACTCACTCCATACAGAAACACTTTTACACAGCACACTCAGTGGGTGGTGATCATGTTACTGCTTCGCGCGGTCGTCATGTCATATCATGTCATCCCATGTCAGCTCAGCTCAGCTCAGTAGACGAGCCAAGGGGATGGTATGCCCATTTGCAAAACACGGCCTTGCAATTCGCTGTAGTGTTCATACATCCACAACAATCACATTCGGATACGGCCCGATCGAGTGACTCGAGGAACGGCAAAGGAGTGGAGATCTTCCCCGGGACTTGACGGGGCCATCACACGTGGTGAGTGGTGTAGTGTAAAGGATGAAATAAACCTACAACCAATCTTTCAATCTCCAAACCCCCACCTGTTTTTGTTTTACACCTGTGTTGTGCTGTGTTGTGCTTTATGCTGTGCTGTTCTTCCAACGAACAAGTACCAATAAAACCCTCTGATATCCGTCATGACGGCGTTTCATACTTCGGTGAAAAAGGTCCTTCCTCAAGATACGAGCGAATAAGTAAGATTGCCAAGACCTTTGGCGATCCACTTCCATGCAGCTGAGTGAGTGGGTATCTGTGGGGCTCGCTTCTTTGGTGTGGCCCAGCTTGTTCAGGTGTGCTGACTGAGCTGAAAGGAAGGCGAGCACGGAGGGCCCGGGAGGAGTTACTTCCTCCCGTCAATCATTGATGGCATCGGTCGTACCTGAATGGGAAAATGCAAACCTGGAAGAAGAGAAGATCTCTACACTAGTGTAGGTCCCAACTGAACACTTACCTCTACTTGGTTCTTGACAAGAAAAAAAAAGAAACGAATCGATGTGATCTGAGCAGCAGCTTGGGTCCAAGATCTCTTCTCGTCCACACATTGCCATCCTCCCACTTGGTAACCCTCTGTGCAAATCTTGCGAAGCTGCATCTTTTCTTTCTTTTCCTTCCCCTCGGTGTCCTGACTGGAGCATGCTGCTGATAAATCTGCGCCGCTTCCACTCCCGCGAAATCCTCACAGGAATCACCGTTCTCCAGATATCAACATGGAGTTGCGGATCTTTTATGGACCCCCCTTTTTCTCCACGATGATTGATGGCCGTTAGACATCACGGAACTCGCTCCGTCCATTGAAAGAATACAAAGGTACATGAACTGCACTAGTGCAGTCCCACGCAAACTCCGTGCCTGTGCAGCAATGATCCTCTTCTCTGTATGGTATAGCGTGTAGCATCCAGTCCACTATCGTGAACCGTCGTTGATCAGGAGCCCACCAATGACCATCAACAAGTTCAAGAACCACGCAGGCCTAGCAACGATAAGTTCCACTTGCTGCATCTCTTGATTGCACCACCCATTCACCCACAACCATCAACGCATGCACTTCCCGCCTCCGAATTTTCTCTTTTCGACTTTGATTCCCGGGGTTTGTTTTCTCGGCGCAAAAAGCCATTCGTTCGCTCGTTCCTCTATCCGAGTCATTGGAAGATGGGATCATGTCAATCGCTCACCGCAGACGAACCGCTCAAGGTGAGAGGTCCGGAGAAGCGGAAGTGTAGGAGGCGACGACGACGATGACGATGGCGCAATGCAGATAGATGCTCGCCCGCAAATGCAGGAGTGAAAAAGTCCATCCCAAAACACGCCAAGACCTCGATCAGATGGCACCCAAGCACACCTAACTCACCGTCGGTTTTTTCTTCCTGGTCGTCGACGACCGTTTGATTCTCGTCAATGATCTTGCAGATGGAATCGATTTCCGGTTTAATTGGGGGGGATGTTTTACAGCAACAACAACAACCTTTATACCTTTACCCCTGCGTTCGCTAGCATTGAGACTTAGGCTCGACTATCGACGTCTATCGAGAAATCCACATGCCTTGAATTGGGGAAAAAGGGTCAAAGAAAGGTCGGTATGTAGAAGTCGTTGATCTTCGGACGGCAAAAAAGAAAAAGGGAAGAAATTTGAACAATGAAAGGGTTATATGAAAGAATGAAACAAGCGATACACTACACTCACTAGAGGTACTTGCACACACCACAGGCCTTTTTGCCCAGCGTCCATCTGTCCATTTCAGCTGCCAGGGCCCTTCAACACAAGTTCCAGCGGTGACAGACCCCCCTACCAAACAGCCCGGCACAATTCCGCACCTCATGTTCGCTTCCATTTGCATGCAACACTTGGTGATGTTCGCCTCATATCGTTACCTTGTCATTTCCTTTCATGGTGGTGTCGTCAGGGTCCCTTATTTGACCGGGCAACAATACTACCTACACAAAACACTATGCCTTTCCACGGCTTCTGTGTGGAGAAACTGCACTTTTACGTGTGATCTTCATCCATTCAAGATCGGCTACAATAGTGTACATAGAATAGTGTAGTCCTGAACGCTTTGTGTCGTCGGTCCGTCGGTCAATCCATACACTAGAGTACATACGGCACGGGGCTTCCGCGCCGTGAAGCATAAAATGATTACTTACCATCCGGTTCCGCTGTATAGAATACGTACCTATGTATTTACCACAGCGTTACGGGACGGGAACCCAAGAAAACCGGGTGGGGTCGGGTGGAATCCGGATGAAAGTCGGGCGGCTTTTTGGAAGTTAAACGGGTTTAACAGCCAGCTGGAGAGGAGCATGCATAATCCTCAAACGTACGCTTATTCTTTTCATGTGAAATCTTTTAAAAAGCATAATTGGCACAAGGTAGTACACATTACCAAGGGAGTTAGTTTTCCAACGCTTGGAAAACATCGAACGTCCCTTTGACAGTCGACACCCATGTTCCACCGTAAGATAAACCATAGGTTCTCAGACTTGGGTAGGTCGTCACGGAAATCACCGATACATACCTAGGTAGGTAGCGTATCGCAAAACCACAGAGAGCAACCCGGGCCGTTGTTACACACAGATCTTCAAAAGGATCGACCAAACATGGAGGTAACAACTTGAAACAAATGACCGCTTTCGGCGGCGGATTTACCCTTTTGCCTTCTACTTAAGATTTTGTTTATATGTACTTCCCTCCCTCTCACTACGTAGGTAACTACCGTATTATGCCAGAAAGCAAAGCAAGGCGAACTAGGGCATGCTGGGCATGCTGGGCACGCAAGTAGGACTACCATACGTAGGTAGCCAGCTATCAGCCAAATACAACGCACGACAGCCTCGGATCCAAACAGCCGCATACCTCTAGGTAGTAGTAAACTCGGAACGACACTACCTACAGTACTACTTCACCAAACTTGACGACGCAGTATGTAGGAGGAAAGTGGTGGTTAAGAGCAGAAGTCGGAGTTAAGTTCCCTCCTTCATCTGTGCTCTCGAGATGGCAGGACCTACCTACAAATAATGGGTTGGGATTCAAGTTATCAGCGTGCATCCACCATTCACCCCCAGATAAGATGAGATGGAGATGGAGATGGCCCCCAAATCCTTCAATTCAATTCAGGCAACGAACTCGCCAGCGCCAACAGGGAAGGAAGGGGTACCTCGATGCACTCATGAAGCGATTCTTACAGTAGTAGATCCCCCCGTTTTCTTGGCGGTTCTGCTGCTGCAGCGGTAGTCTACACTACCATTTGTCGTCGTCGTTCGAGGCTGCCGCTCCGGCTGGCACCTTGTGGTGGTGCAGTGGTTACAATAGGCTGTTGTTGTTGTTGTTGTTGCTGTTGCTGTTTCGTTCACCGCTAGACTGCGTAATGCTGGCTACTGCGTTACATGCCTACCTCTACCTACCACAGCACAGAGTGGGTGAGTGAGAGAGCTGCAATGCTTGTACATGCTAACTAGGTACAACTAACTAGGCTAATTAGGTATGTAACTGACGCCTTGTAACCTTCGCAGGGGGGGGGGGGCAAGGGCAAAGACAAAACAAGGGTCTGTTAACCCTGTCATTGGAAGGTTCGTTACATACCTACCTACCTACCGTAACCTGTTGACAGACAACTACCTATGTCGTGAGGAGGGAGGTTCGTTCGTTCGTGAGGCGACAGCCAGCCAGCTTGAGGCTCACATCACATGCTACACTACGTACATACGAGATAGTGTAGGAGAAGGGTAAGGATCCCCATCCGATAGACTACTACATCAATGACGATAGGCGATGAGCGGTTCGACGACACGCGGATGGATGGATGGATGTATGGATGGCGAAATTTGTACAAGCGTTGTGAGCTGAGCGGGCGGGCCGGTAGACTGGGCTGACTGACTGGCCACGGGATGTCCCGAAGAACCGAACGAAAAAAAAAAAAAAAAAAAAAAAAAAAAAAAAAAAAAACTTCTTCTTCTTCTTGTTCTTACGAATCAAGGCACCCACCCACAATCGATTTTCGCCTCACGTTTTTATGGGTTACGTAGTGTACGTCGTGTAGTGTACTTTTTTCTCAGCTTGCCCGCCTGCCCGCCCGCTCATCCCGCATCCTATGTACACTACCAGGCCTGGCCTGGCCCGACCTGACCCAAGAAGGCAACTTCTCCGAGATTTCTTTCTTCGAAAGAAGTGTCATGGAAGCATTCTTTTCGATGCGGAAAGACTCCATCCAGTTTTTTTTGGACCTTAACTCAATTTTTCAAGGAACCCGAAATCGGGGGTCTGACCGTACCGTCTGATGCCCCCCCTTTCCCCCCTTCTCCAAGATCCCAAAGATCCCCACCGGCCCGGGTCGTCTTCCCGGCCGACGAGCGGCGGTAGCAACAGTGACTGTAGTGTCAGGTACGGAGCGTACTCGCGGTATTGCACGTACATACGTACATAGTACACTACCTACAGTGTAGTGTAGTTATGTATAGTGCGTAAATTACCAGAATTGTAAAGTACAATACGCCGGCACTGCCATCAAGGACTAAGGTATGTAAGACATTATGGAGGTACATTCCGGGACTGGTGGCATTACACTACACAGTTAGAATGGGTCAGGCAGTAGGTAAGGTGCCAGATCAAGCAAGTCGTCGACACTTGCTTGCTCGGACGCTGCTTGAGGCGTTACAAAACATTTATCCAGAATTTTGGGACGAAGGTGCGTGCCTGAGCCCCAGAACCCCCAAAGGTTGAGGCGTCAAGGTGTTCGAGTTCCCGGGTTTGGTAAAGCGTGCCGTGTGCCTGTGACAAAAACGGGTACGGGAGGGGAGGAAAAGTTGGGGACTTTCGAAGGGGAAACTAGGTACACTAACGAAGGAGCCTCTTGGAAAGGCCTTCAGGGCAGGATTGGGATTGGAGGGGGGTGTTTGAATTGTGCCTTCATGACTCTCGCTCGGTCGCGCGCTCGAGTCCTGTCTCGCACAATCAATATTACCGGTCTATTCCCTGTAAGGTTTTACAATCAGGGCTAGGCATGGGCGGGTGTCTCCAGGTTCTTGTTCGGAGTTCATTGTTCATCATCATCACATCGCTGTTTCGGTATGCACGGCACCAAAGCGTAACACCTCCCGTCGTTCGTCTTCCCCCCCCCCCATCCGTTCCCCGTTCTTCACTACACTACACTAGGTAGGCTCGCCATCGCCAGCCGGGCGGCCGCCAAACCCAGGCTGGTTATCGTCGATGATGATGATGATGATGATGATGATTGATGATGTGGCTCGCCGCCGACAGAGACAAAAATCTGCGACAAGGACAACGCAGAGCAGCAGAATCTGAAGCAATCGGGTCAAAAAGAAAAGGTCGGGATGCGGCGGCAACGACCTGATCTGACGACCAGCCCGCTTGGCTGCTGCGGTGCCTGGGGATCCAATTCCAATGGGATGCCAATGTCGTTGTGTGGTGGAGATGGCGCTATTCCGACGACGCTTGCACACCGCAAAACAGCAAGCAATGCAGTGGTGTTGGATCGCGTCGATGTGGGTGTGTTGGGTTCGGTTGTTTTTGCTGCATAATGGTGCTGGCAGGTGGCTAGTGTCGTAGGGAGCTGGAGTATGGGGCGGGGGGACCACTTCCACAGGGGGGGGTGGGGGTTCCATTATATGTACATTGGCTCCGTCGTTATCGACGATGCAGTCATGTTAAGAAAAAGGGATTCAAGGAACAACAATTGGCATTGAATGGGGCCGCGGTTGCCCTTGATATCGATTTTGTTTCATCTCATTGTCAGGTTGTTTTTGTTGTTGTCGTCGTTGTCGTTGTGTTGTTGTGGTCCAAGTGTCAAGTCTAGAAGTTGGTGCATCCGCCGCCGCTGCAGGTGATGTGCTCAGTCGTTTTACATGACCCGTCGTCTCTCAGTCTCGTCTTTGAAGGCGACAGACATCAAACAGGAACAAACTTGAGACTGGACCGTGACAGAAAATGTGCTTTGTTTCTTTTGGCTTGGCTGAAGTGAAATCCTGCCACTGCCTGACACTGCCTGACATTTGCCAGCCGCTTCCACTTCGCAGCTTACACCAGGCACTCAGGCACAATGTTCAGGTGCATCCATCACAGGAGACAGCCCCGGATTAAAGTCAAGGCAAAAGCATGGAAGCTAAGGCAAGGTAAGGCGGTGCGCGCTGACGGGTGGGCCAGGCACCGATCCGCCCTTCCTTATAACTCCCGTTAACAAATTCCACACGAGTCCGGTCGCCTCGCCTGAAATGGTGGACTCCTCCAACAAGGGAACCTAACTCGCCTCGGCCGAGATCGAAAGCGGTCCACTCTCGCATTCAGCACCTATGGACTGGACGAGGAGAGCACGCACGCTAGGATAGGTACAAGGAGTTGATGTTTCTAGTGTAGTGTAGGGGCCCGGGAAAGAAGAGAAGGGGGAACGACCTACCTAGTGTAGTGTTGAGGGAGGGAGGGGGGTGTCGTTAACAAAGGTCCAAGCCCACTTCTTTCAGTGACAGCTGTGTAATGTTTCTTTCTTTCACTCACTGCAAGCGCAAGCCCCAGCTTTAACACCTCAGCAGCCACCACACACACACAAACCTCTTACAGGTACTAAGGTAGGTAACATGGCTGTTCAAACATGTCAGTGCTCAGTCCATTCATTCCATTTGCCAAAGGAGGGCGGTAGGTGCATGCAAAGTCGCAATGGCTGCAGTGTCAATCTGCGTCTGCGCCAGTGCACCCGACCGCCGCAGAGGATGAGATGAGACGGCTGTAGGTGGTGTACGCTAGAGTAGGTTAGAGTGGGTGCATTGGTGGGAGTGGATCGATGCCCTTTGCACCTCTGGAGACAAAACCTGATGCGCTGGATGGATGCGATGCGATGCGATGCGAGCGTGCTGGTGGTGCCCGTGTGCCCGTGGCCCGTGGGTCAGTCAATCAATCAATCAATCAATGTGTGTATTGGGAGTGGTTATGGTCATGTCACTGGACCTTCACGACAGATGACTTGTTGAAAAAGGGCGCAAGTAATTGGATATGGGACGGGAGAAAATCCAACACTGCACGGTCATGGTCACGGATGGGAAAGAGGACGGAGGCGGATGCAGTGGCCCTTTGTATCTTTCATTCACAACATTCAGTTTGGCGAACCCCCCCCTTCACGTTCTGACCTCTTCATTCATTTCATTCACCATCAACTGGACCCCTGGCGGCCCCACACCCACCCTCCTCCACTCCGTTGCCGCATCGGTCGCTACGTCGCCGTTTGGGACCCGGCATTGTGTTCCATGTCAGGTCCATCCAGGTGGACGGTACCTTTTCACTCCTCGTTCTGTGCTAGTGCGCACCAGTGTGTGTGCGTGGTGTGTAAGTTACAGTACAGGCTCCTTCCTGTTTCCGCCTCCGGCATCGTGTGAAGGCAAGAAAGGAGACCTGCCCGACACCCAAGCCGGACCACTGGGCTCTCTTCCTCCCTTGGTACCTACACTAGTGTACAGGTAGGGTAAGCTCTCGTAATATTACTCGACATGGTGTACATTGGCATCCATCCATCCTTGTACACACACGCCCCCCCTTCTTTAGATGCTCCCGCCCTTTCTTTCCACTTTTACTCTTTACTGCGCTTTCCATTTCCTCGACTTCCATTCCTACACACACCCGCTTCCAGGTTCCTCACTGTGTTCTGCTCTTTAATTTTCCGTTTGCTTGTTCTCCATTCCGTCTCGACTTTTACACACAAATTCAAAGGCAAACCAAACCCCCAAACTCCTCCTTCTCCTCCATCATCCCTCGTCCCAACCTTTGCGAGAAGTAAGGGGATAGATAGTACGAGACAGGAAACCAACAACCTCCCATCACGCCGTCACCAACACTCAACTCACCCTAATACTACTACTAATTAACCCACCCGGCGCCACAAACACACGGCCCTTCAACGACTACACTACAACCTACCATCGAAATACCAAAGCACTGGTCTGTCTGTAATCTGTGGCAAGACACCGCCTCTTCTCGCCCAACCAAGTCCCAACCTTGAAGGCCCCCAGGTCACCGGCTTTTCATATAAGCTGCCCTCCTCAGCCAACACCACCACCGACAGTACCTCTATTAATCCGTCTTGGTTGCGCTCTCGTGTCCCAACCCATCCCTGCTTGCTACTGCAATCACCCATACACACACCGTATACACGACACACACAACACACACACACGACTTCTCTCTCTTGGATACTCAAGTCGTCTTCGAGGACGCCGATTGCTGCCGAGTACCCAAACCACCAGCACCACAGCAGCAGCAGCAGCAGCAGCAGCAGCCACAAGACTTTCTGCCGGTAAGCGGCTTGTTCTCTTCGCTTTGCTACATGGCCGTCACATTACACAAGCACACATTACCTCCCCCTCCCAGGCCCAGCGTCTTCTCATTCCTTCGTCCTTGGTCCAGTCGCTCCCTGCAGTGTACGCCAAAGACGGGCTTCCCTATCACAAGATACAAGGGCCGCCACGGCTGCAGTCCATGCCCCTTTCCGCCTTTCCGCAGGCACTCAGTCCTTTTCCCCCCCATCCATCCCTTCGTTGCCTTGTTTGCACTCCTCTCGCATGCAGCAGCCTTCTGGTGATACACCTTGCTAACATGCATGCCACGAACAAAGGTCTTGGTCGCATTCATAACTGGTCCATTCGCCCTACCCATTTCCCCGGGTTTCTCTGGACTCCTCCTCCTCACCGATTTTTCCCTATAATTTCACCCGTCGTCGCTCACGTAGCTTGGCTCCAGCAATACCCTCAAGAGATCAAGGATAGTCAAACTTCAAAATGGGTGAACAAGGCGCAGGCGGTGGCTTCGAGAGCCACTTGTCTACTCACAGGCGACAGGACTCCACGGCCGAGGAGCCCCTACCGACAGAGACCGT